CTCGCTACCCTTTCCTGCTCTTTTGTCCTCAAGAGCTGGATGAAGCCACCAGCCCAGTTCTCACCCTCCCCTCTCTGTCTCCCCAGGGAAGCGGGTGTGCCCAGGAGAGGCACTGGCCCGCATTGAGCTCTTCCTCTTCCTCACCACGCTGCTGCAGAACTTCACCTTCCAGCTCGCCGTTGAGCACGAGGAGATGGATTTATTCTCTCTATGGCTCAAGATAGAGAGGAAGGTGATACCGGGCAAGTTCTTCGCCATTCAGCGCCCGGTGTCCGCTTGAGCAGAGGGCAGCGGGGAGAAGGAAGGGGTCTTCCAGGCAGCTTCTCTTCTGCTGAAGCCACAGCAAGCCATGCAACCATGAGCACTACAGCAGCAGCCACCAAGCAGACTGGTCGCTTTGAGCTTCTCCTGAGACTTCTGCCAGGCATCTCTGCCACCAGCTCCGTGGGCATCCTGGCTCCCAACCCTACCCCTCCACGTCCCAGCACCATGAGGAAGACAGCACTGGTTTTCCTCTCCCTGTGTCTGGTTGAACCTCTAGCCCCTTGCGGCAGGGCTGTCTGCGGCTCCCCAGCTCAACTGGGCGCTCCCTCATTTTGGTGCTTCTGCAATAAAAATAACCATCACTGCTGGGTGTTGGTGTTTATCAGGACACTCGCGGTGCCTCTGGAGGTAAGGGTGGTGATGCTCAGGCTTCCCTGCCCTTCACAGGCAGCGTGTGAGCTGGCCAGGGCAACCAAGGTGACCAGCACCTGATAGTTCTCCTCCCCTGCTTTGCCCCCTCTCTGCACCCACCGGCTTTACCCAACGCCCACGACGCTGGAAATCACCCTCACTCCGCAGCCCGCTGAGCAGGGCTGACACCCTTGTCAACGCCTTTCAGACCGTCACGCTAAAAAACGACGCGCGGGGGGAAACGTGCTACGGGAGAGGGGTGCCGTGCTTGGGAAGCAAGAAGTGTTTTGCCACCGAAAGTCACTGCTTCCTTCTCAGGGTGCTCAGCATGTCCTCCGTGCTCGCGCCGCCTTAACCGCCCCTGCATGAAGAGGGGTTTCCTTGCTAGCCCCCAGGCACGCTCCAGCCTTTGTTCCAACACTGGGACTTTTAAAAAAAGGATTTTTTCTTTAAATACCTGCACAAGAGAAAAATGACCTGAAGGACCTCAGAGTGCAGCCCAACAGCTGAGATAGCAACCTGAATTATTTTTTTGAAGTTGGTCCTAACCTCCCACTTACCCCTCCCCGAGCTCCAGCCCTTCTGTGCCGCATCCCAGCCCCTTTCATAGGAAACCTGTGCTCCCTCTCCTGCTGCTGGAGCTCGGGTGGCTCTGCCTGTCCCTGGTGCAGGCAGGACTGCCCACCTGGGGAGCCCTCTCCGTGGGCAGAGCCAGAGGGATGGGTGCTTCCAAGAAAGCAATAAATTCCTTGGGTGCATAAGGTTCATTTGAAGGTTAAAGCCGGGGAGGCACATCGGCTAATCCAAACTGAATGTTTTCCTGTCTCGGTTCATCCTGGGATGAACACAACCTCACAGAATCACAGAACGGTGGGGGTTGGAAGGGACCTCTGTGGGTCACCCAGCCCAACCCCCTGCCCAAGCAGGGTCACCCAGAGCAGGCTGCACAGCACCGCGTCCAGGCGGGGCTGGAATATCTCCAGAGGACTGCAGAGCACCCCGTCCAGGCGGGGCTTGAATATCTCCAGAGAAGGAGACTACACAGCCTCCCTGGGCAGCCTGGGCCAGGGCTCCATCACCCGTGACCAGGGTGGGTGGCTGTTGACAGAGCCCTTGCCCACGGGGCCGGCCGTGGAGGGGAACAGCACGCAGCCCTTGCTGGTGTTCTTGTCGGGGGAATGAGCTTTTCCTTGCAGGGTGTGGATGATCAGCTGTTTGTGAGCATATCTAGTGTCCCTCGGGGAATCATGGAAATGATTAGAATCAGATGCAGGGTCCTGCAGCCATCCCAGGGCTGCCTTGGATCTCGCTCCAGTCGTGCTCCGGGTCAGCGCGCTGTCGGGAGGTGCCCAGGCTGGGTCAGAGCTACACCGAGGGAACAAGCGCTGCGGTCCAGGGGTGATGCGAAGGTGGAGATAACGTTACCCAGGTTCCCTTCTGTCATCTGCAGCGCTCCTGATGCTGCTGCTCTGGCTGTTCCCCTCTCTAGCAGGTATTTTACTGCATGTGGCTAAATTCCCCATGCAGGCAGTGTGAAGGGTAACTGCTGAAAGAAACCATCCAGCCAACATCACTCTTAATTGTAGCTTTATTTGCCTTGTGCTGTTAACCTTCTGGGTAATACTGCAAATCTGGTATCGTTTGGGTCTCTGATCCTTCCAGCTGTAGGAAATGAGTGGGCAAAGCCAAGGGTGAGCACAGGTTGTGGAGGGGATGGGGTGTTCCTGGCAGCAGGAGACGGGGCTGGGTGGGACTCGGACTCAGCAGCGTTATCCTGGCCCAGCATCAGCCTCCCAGGGCCAGCCCTGCCCCAGTGCCAGCCAGCACCAGTGTGCAGCCACCCTGTAAATGAGGGGATCGTTAAAGGGAAGAGGAATAGAGCTTATAAGGGCTCTACAGCTGACAACAACGTAATGAAAAAATCTTCCTCGTGAAGTCTTCTGAGTGACACGTCTCGGGAGGGGTGGCTGGGAATGTTCTAAGTAATGAAAACCACACTAAAGAAAGTGCTGAAGGGACTAATTCTGCATAGCTAGAAGGGGTAGAATAAATAATAGAGCATAATTTATTTGTTAGATACTTAATACATTATTCTAACATCTGCAATCCTCTAATTCAGCTCTGAGATGCCTACTGTGAGGTTTGACTCTTTGCTTAATTCTGCCAGAGGAAGCAGTGGATGGATCATCTGCTGAATCCCGAAGTGGCTTCAAGCAAGGCAGCTGTCCTCAGCCCAGTGCCCAGACTGGATTTCCGCTATGGTCTGCTCGCAATTCTGCAGCTCTACAGAGCAAAACCTCATCTGCAAGAACTGGCCAGCTTAGGATGATGGGCACCACTGCCTGAATATTTAATACTGGGGGGGAGTGGGGGGCAATCTACGGTGTTTCGTAACAGGACGCTAACTGGCACGGCCTAGGAACAGTTCTATTCTGGGTCATTCTGGAGAAAAGCCTGGCAGACCGTGGCAGTAGTTAGCTGGAACGTTCAAAGCGCCACGCGAGAGGAGGCGATGCCATTGACAGACGCTTGGCTTTGCTCCGAGCCGCTTCCCAAGTCTGAGGCAGTGACAGTGTGCTCTCAGCAAAGAGATGCAGGACGGTGCCTTCCCTGCTGCTGACTGAGGTGGTGTTCTGCCAGGTGTCAGGTCTTCCACCAGCACAACCTGAATTTCAAAATGCAGTGCTATGGCTGCTGTTGCACCTAAAAGGAAGGAAAGCCTTACACTGGGGGGGGTTGAAGCTTGGCAAAGATGCTAGAGGTGTATGCGGACACCAGCAAAAACTACTAACGTGAGCAGGGCATTAGCTGTGTTTATTGTTCCGTTATCTCAGGGACAACAGAGAAATTTGTCCCTCTTTCTTTCCTTCTGCAATGTCATAACCCAAATCATGTTTTCACTGCAGAAAATCTAACGGCTAAAGGAAGAGAAGATTTTCTGCTTGTTTTGAGAAAGAAGTGCTATGTTCTTGGCATGAGGTTGTTTCAGTCTTCCCCTTAGCGTCTGGGGCAGTCACCCTCCCATGCTGGTGACTGCTGTAGGTAGAGGTGGAGGAGGTGAAGCATCTTACGTAAAGCTGTCCCGCTGCACCCCCACCAAGCACACCCAGGGGCTCCCATGGGCCCTCTGATCCCCTGGTTCCTCCTGCTGTGAAGAGCCCTCGCTACCCTTCAGGGCAGTGGGGAGTGGGGAGAGCTGCCTCTCTCTGCCCTCAGACCCCACTGGTGGGACCTGTCCTGCAAGACCATCGGTGTTTTCAGCACTCTCCTTTGAATGCTAGAGTGCCAAAGGGATTAGCAGAAGAGTTGGGTTCAGATCACCCAGCTCTTGCAGTGCATTACCAACAGCACTCTGTTAACAGCCACCAAAGCTCAAGCACTTCTGAGACTGTGAATTCCCCTGTCTTCTAGGTGGTCAACCCCCAGCAATGTGCTGCTGGCCCCAGAACACCGGCTGCCTCATCCAGGAGGGTCCTGATGCCGAGGGCAACTCGCCTATCATCTCCTTAACCAGTCAAGATGTCCCCATGGTTCCTGCATCTCTCCAGTCACCCTCTAACATCAGCCAGTGCAAGGACTTCGTTCGCTGCCTGCCACTTCACCTGTCCATGTACATCCTGGGTAATGCTGCTCGGATTTCCCACGGGTGGTTTCCCCTAAGGGTAACGAGTGGTCTCTGGTGTGGATAGGGGTTAGCCAACCTGTCCCTTTAATTTCTCAGGGCTTTCGGATCAAAAATCCCTCGATGTCTGTGCTGCTGTGAGTAGATGCTGGGCTTTTCTGGCCAAAGAAGTCAAGAGTGAATGTGTGTGTCGAAGCAAAGTACAGGAGAATATCCTGTATTTGCAGGTATGATGTCCGGGCTTCCGTCATTATTATGCACTTTAAAAAAAAGAGGGTGTTTTTCTGCTATTGCCCATGCCATTAGATGGAGACACTTTTACTAGTGGCTACTTCCCAACTTCTCCCTGTTCTTCCTCCATTCGCAGAGCTAAGCCAGGTTAGATGATCCTACTGTCACAAGTAAGCACAACAGCATAGCTCTTACCGACCTTCAGAGAGCCTGTGACTCTAAAAATGGATCAATATGTTCTTGTAATAGAGGAAGCAGAGTTTGGTCACAAATGCAAATACTGGATTTCCCGGAGCTAGTGGAAATTGGGCAGAGCTACGATGGCTCCATGAGGCAGCTCCAAAACAAGCTTTATTTACTCCACATAGGAAGATGGAAATGCTAGGTTCTTTGCGAGAGGTCAGAGCTGGCGGGTGGGATGCAGTAAAGCAGAACTTCTAAGAAAGGCTTGTCCTGGTCAGTACAGACCTGCCATGCACTGGGCTAAGCGTAAAGGTAAATCCCCAAAGAGACAGTTTTAGGAGTCTTTGCGTGCTTTGATTTGTGAAGAGGGCATAGAGATCTCAGCTCTGTGCTAGCATTCAAAGCAGGGTTCATGGAGGTTTCACACATTAAAAATGAATCTTAAACATCAGTAAAGATGTTTTGAGTAAAAATGAATCTTAAATATCAATAAAGATGTTTTGAGAGCCTCTCATCTCAGCAGGTTTGGATTCTGAATCAACTGAGTCCTCGCTGAAGATGAGATGCACTTTGAAATTTTGCAACTTGTTAAAAGCTTAAGACTAGAGTTTTGAAAAAAAAAAAAAGGCAATTATTTTTCACAAGAAGTTAAATCTTCTACTGACAAAGTGGTAAATGCAAGCCGTATCTCTTAAGCAATAACAACCAGCCGGTGCGTACAGCTCAGCTCTGCTTGTAACTTCAGCATCCCATGGAGATGCCGAAGCCCCAGCTCACGAGCAGCATCCTCTGTGCACACGGGCTCTGCAGTGACCGTGTTGCCTCTGCTGCTTTCTTCCAGGGGTTGTGCCCTAGAGGAGTGGTTTCAAACTACGAGACTGTGACAATTCCGCAGTTAAATGAAGAGGGTGATGTCATCGAAGTGACAGGCCATGACTGGGGAAGTAAAACCAAGGTATGTGGGAAGTTGTTTGCCTTCCATAGATTCTGCGTTTCAGTATTGGAATGGCTGTAAACTAAAAAAGGGTAAATTTAGATTGGATATTAGGAAGAAATTTTTCACCATGAGGGTGGTGAAACACTGGCCCAGGCTGCCCAGGGAAGCTGTGGCTGCCCTCTCCCTGGCAGTGTTCACAGCCAGGTTGGATGGAGCTCTGAGCAATATGGGCTGGTGGAAGATGTCCCTGCTCATGGCAAGGGGGAATGGAACCAGATGAGCTTTAAGGTCCCTTCCAACCCAAACCATTCTATGATTCTATGATATGGGGAGGAAGGAGGACGTGGTGGTCTTGAAAGACAGGACAGTGAATTCGGAGCTGCTTTGCTCTTCTCCCACTTCTGGCTTGCACCATCGTGAGCAACTTGTAAGGACTCACGCTTGCTCAGCACATTCTCACACGGGAGGGAGCCTGCATCACTCAACTCCTGCCTTGTCTTAATGCATCCCCCAGCCACATGCACAGCCTTGAGGCCAGGGATGCTGGCAAGGCCAGGCAGCATCCCAAGGACACGGCCATTTTCCTGCAGGATAAAGGGTGCAGCTGTCAGGTTTTCCATTTTTGCCATGGGCATGGCATGGGAACAACCCCTTTTTCTGCACTAACCAGGAAGTTCCTACACTCTGAGTGTTCCTTACCAACACTTTCTGTCTCTGTTGGCCTCATGACTATAGTGGGGACCAAGCTGATACCTTTCATATGATGGAATAATGCTGCATTCCTCCCTCCCCGAGTCACTTTTCCCTATTTTTCTTTCCATCGGGAAAAGGAAGACAATCTGTTGGCAGCCTATCATGATCTGAAAACAGACACAATCCAGCTGGAAGAGAGAAATGTCTTCTGTGGCTCCTACAACATTCGTGTCCTCATGGATCAGTGAGTAGACTGCCTGGCTGTAGGGCCAGACAGCAGCTTCTGAAAACCTGTCCCATTCCTGTGATCCCTCTGCAAGAATGTGTGGCTGGAGAAGGGGCTCTCAGCGTCAGTGTTAAGTAGTCCTCAGTGTCACATTCAGTTTGTGAAGACACCACGATAAGCTGTTTTTAAAGAGAGCTAAGGGTTAGTGATCCACAGTGTATCCCAAGGGATATGGGGCCGGGAGGAGCCCTCTCCCCTCTCTCAGCTTACCCCCAAGATACACGCTTGGGTACGCAGAACTAGGGACCTTGGTTGTGGAGCCCTGCAAAGGATTCGTCTGCTGAAGTGTATTGCCCATCATGTTGCCCAGCGAGGACCGTTAAGCATCAGCAAAATGCCTGTCACAGCCCTAGAATCATAGAATCATAGAATGGTTTGGGTTGGAAGGGACCTTAAAGATCATCTGGTTCCAAGCCCCCTGCCATGAGCAGGGACATCTTCCACCAGCCCAGGGTGCTCAGAGCTCCATCCAACCTGGCCTTGAACACTGCCAGGGAGGGGGCAGCCACAGCTTCCCTGGGCAACCTGGGCCAGGGCCTCACCACCCTCATGGGGAAGCCCCGTTGTACCTTGTTAGCTGGCTAAAACTCATCTCAGTCACTGTTTCTTATCCAGATCAGACCGAAGCAGAACAATCCATTACAGTGGTGGGAACCTGGTAGCCATTGGCTCTGCAGACCGAAAAGTGAGGCTTCTTGGTATGTCAGGAATGAAGGAAGTGCCGCCCCTGCTCTCTGGCCACAGCTGGGAGCATCAAGGCACTCTTCCTCAATGAGAAGAAAGGGTTTGTCCTCAGCGCAAGCTTCAATCTCAGCATCAGGTGAGCAATGCTGGGGCTGTGCTGTGGGATACCTGCCCCATAGTAAACCTAGGACAAATGGAACTTCAATCCTTCCACTTCAAACTTTAGGAATCCTCCTTCCATCGCTTTCATTATAGTAACGAAGAAAGGACAGTAGATAAGGGTAAACGTCCCCCATTCGCATAGGACAGCTTCTGTTTCCCAGCTTCACCCAGTACTGAATGATAAGATAGGAGAATAGGGATGCACAGGGTTTCCTAAAGTATCTTAAACCACCAGATACGTTTCCCATAGGCACTCGCAGTGAGATTCTGGCTTTGCTGAGGTCAGCATCGAGTTCAGGGAGGCTGGGTTTCTCCGTGCCGTTTTAGCAGGCCTGTTGTGCTAAGCCGGCTCACCGCCCCGGTACCTGCTGCACAGCCGCTCCCACCCAGGCGCTGCACCCTGAAACAAGGGTGGGGGTGCTCAGCTCTCACCTGTATCGCTAAATCCCAGGAGGATCGCGAGGAGGGGCAAAAGGTAAGCAGCAGGTCGTCTGGCTCCGGCAAGGCAATTGCACAACCTCAGCAAAGGCAGCCTCTAACAGAAAGGGAAAGAGAAGAGTTTGCACCGACGCAGGCTCCATCCTCCTGGCTCCAAAAGGGCTGTTTGCTCAAGCGTGGGCTTGAGTTCTCTAGGTAAACTCAACAGAAGTCATCTTGGCACCGGCCAGTACAGAAACAACCTTATCTGGAAAGCTTTACATTTTAAGGTGAATTGAAGGTAACCATGCCAAAGGTGAGATCTAGCCACATGTTTGGAGGCAGAAGAACAAAGTACTAAATGGTCAAAATGTGCTAAATGGTCAAAAATTGGTAAAAATATAATACTAAGCCTAACTTCATTGTTCCAAATCCTCCAACACCTTAGTGGAATGACTCCTAATTTTAACCTGGTGTGTATGGGAGAAGAACTGGGCCTGTTAAGTAGGAAATAATAAGATGAATAAGCCACCAATTAAGTTAACCACTGTATTCCATTTTTGGTTGGTCCTTCGTAGATGCTGGAATATATACAGTGGTGCTTGTGTGAAAACGGTCACTGTGGGACAGTCACCTGTTTGGATTTACACGAGGAGCAGTTTGTGTCAGGAGGCAGAGATGGGATGGTGAAAGGTGAGAGACAAGACTAGGAGCTTCCCAGCCAAAGGCAAACAGCGGGAGCAATGGGCAGAGGGCCTGGGATTTGGGATGTGTGAAACGAATATGAAAGTAAGTCTGTAAATCAGAGAGTGAATTTCAGTGTCTCATATATTTGCCTCCAGAACAGTCTAAGCTGTGGACATATGGACACATAAGGTCTCTGTGTCATTGAATAAATTCTGATTATTCCTGCTTTTATTCAGTTTCAATGGCTTTGTGGCTATAGGGCCAGACCAGCTCTTGGGAAAGTGGTATCAGCTTTCAGTGTTGCCAGAAGTTTCCGTATTACTAGCTTATAGAATAAGGATGAAAAAGATGTGCTATTTTCTGGTCTTTGCATTTAACTTTTTTGCCATGCAATTATACTTTTCAAGTCAACACCTGGCTCCGTGCAGGGCTGCAGTTACAAGGTGTAACTCTAATTCCAATTATATTTTAAAATTTGTGTTGTACTCAGGAAAACTTATCATTGGGGCATAGATATTTATAATATTTCTCCCCTTTGCCCTTAACAGTGTGGAATCTGGAGAGTGGGAAATGTTTGAAGACTCTGAAACACAACAGTGCTGTTTGGGTAGCTAAAATGTATGGCACCCGTGTTGTCAGTGTGTGTGACCGAGGGCTGGTGAAAGTCTGGTGTGCCGATACGGGCACTCTGATCAAAGTAAGTTTCCTCTTAGGTGGATAATTCTGTGCTAAATAGTCAAAAATCTTCTATGCTCATATCATAGTTGATAGTATCAGTTTATCATTCTGGGTTCCCCAGTTCAAGAAGGATGAGGAGCTACTGGAGAGAGTCCAGCGGAGGGCTATGAGGATGAAGAGGGGACTGGAGCATCTCTCCTATGAGGAAAGGCTGAGGGAGCTGGGCTTGTTCAGCCTGGAGAAGAGAAGGCTGAGAGGGGACCTTAGAAATGCTGATAAATATCTGCAGGG